TACATCCCTCACTCATACAAGGACAAGCAAGCCTCCTTTGTGTTACGGTGACCCCCCAAGTGTCCAACAAAGTGAACTAAGTGCTGGAATTCCTCCGCAAACCAGGCCAGGGGCTGCAAATTTGCAACCCCACGTACAACTTGCAACTTTGCTGAGTTCTGATCCACCAATGGCACCATGGAGCGTATGACAACCCAGCAGACCACCGCGGCAACCAGTCATTGCTCATCCAAACCCGTCACCTCCTTTATCAGTGACGGGCATCTCAACCTCAAGTACATTGACCCATTTTGACCCCATCCCAACAATCCAGGAAGTGGTGATCCTCGCTCATGCCACATACATCTGTGATGAGGCGTACAAGCAGAAGCAGGGAGTGGATTCCTTCCAAACATTCCTGCAGCAGCACAAACCCTTCATGACGACATCAGCTCATTTCCTCTCCATCAAACAACACAACTTTGAGGATGCTGAACAAAATCAGATTTCGCAATTGAGCAAAGAGCTGAATGCCATCATTCTCAAGACACCGGAACAACTCCAAACAAATTGGCTGCAACAATGCCCCAAGCAAGGATTCATTCTGGGTGTGCAATTTTCTGCCCCACCTAGTGAGGGTCCAATGCTGGGTGTATTTACGCCCTTGGAAAAGGATGCACCCATCAACATATCTGCAAATATGCAGATGGAAAATGTTCCTAATCCACCATTCCAAAAGAAGCCACATCAGCTACTGGAAACTAATGATGAAATGAACCCATAGGTTGTTGCATTCCAATCATACGCATTGGCACAGCACATGCCACCACCGGCATCATCTTTTGTTCAGGACCTGGAGAAGAAAACCCTACCTCCCTCATTTAAGCACTTCAATGGAAAGCCCTTGGACAAATTTACCTTTGACCGCTTCTGGTCGAATTTTCTTCACATCCACATCATACCAACAAAATACATTACGCCATCTCAATGCATATCCTTACTCCTGTTATATCTTGACAGGAAGGCAAACAATCTTGTGGACTGACAACTGAAGAAAACAGAAGAGGCAGACTACTGCCGCATACTCAAAATCCCTATTAAGGAATATGGCAACATCCAGGCCACCCGCCAATGCATTTTCAAAACATTTGACAAACTAAAACTGGACAATGACTTGGCGGAAGACATGGCCAATTATATGGAAAAAGTGATTGACATTATCATTCAGCTGGACAATCTGGGCTCTAATATGCCTCAAGTCAATATTTGTTTGTGGCCAACCATCAAGTTGCACCTTCTAAAAGGAGCACACTACAACAATGTCATGCATGAGCTGTGACTCAATCTGCCATGCAAAGTGTCTGAGCTAGATACATGGGCAAGTACACCCACAAATCAATACAGATGGATTTGTGAATTCCTCAAAATGGAAGTGCCGCCAGATGAAGTGACATCTATGGTGCTCACCTTCCATACCACATCCTCCTCCAAACACACACAAGAATCCAATACGGACACAAAAATCAAGTCCAAGATCACATCTATAGATTCTTGCTCCTGCAAACAGAAACGTGAGACATCCAACAGCCCACGACATGTGAAACAAGCACACTCCTTGCACAATTTGGATCAGCATCAGAAATCATTGCCATGTTGCAGTTGCTCCTCTTCAACTCAAAAATCAAAGTATTATGATCGCTTCCCTGGATGCTCTCAGCACATCTCCAGCTACAAGGGAACTCGATACAATAAACAACTCAGACTCTTGTCAAAACAAGAACAAGAAATCTGGATGTCCATTTTGCCATGGACCACATAATTCCTTCTCTTGCAGTCTCAGCATCCAAGAACGCGCAACAGCTGTCCGCCTCAACAATCTGTGCTTCAACTGTTTAAATTCTGACCATGACATTGCAAATTGTTGCAATCTCAGGACATGCCAGAACTGCAACCAGGGCCATCATTTGTCAATCTGCTATAAATCCCAAAACAGAGGACCTCAAGGGAATAATTTCTGGAACAACGCTAACGGGACCCTTCCCCAATTCAACAACAATCAAGGAAATAACTTCACCAACAACAGGAATCAAAGCAACTATGGACAAAGCAACAATTCCTGGAACAGTAACAATCAAATGAACCGCAACTCCAACTATCAGCAAAACAATGGTCATCAACAAAACAACCGAAGGGCTTTCCAAGATCCTTGCAATTTTGTCTTTATACTACAAACCATCTTGGACCGCCTACCACTCCCACCAGCACCAGTACCAGCCATTGCAGCACCTCCAGCCAGTGCAAACCCAGCATGACTAGTCCAGGTCAATGCCACAACAAGTTCTGTGGCATACTCACTCTTGGAAATGGCAACCATCAAATTACAACCAAACAACGTTGAGGTCCATGCATTACTTCATACGGGGTCACAGTTAACCCTGGTCACGCAGGCCCTTGTCAGCCATCTTCAATTACCTATACTGCAATCAGCCATGGCCCACACCGTTGCAGGCATTGGCAATGCCCGTATGAAGTCAACAAAATTGGTAAAGCTGAATTTTCAACACAGGAGCAAAACAACATTCATTTTGGAAATAACAGCTGTCGTCAATCCGTTGCAAGAATCCTGGGGGGCTACAAATCCCCACACCCTTTCACAACTACAGGACTTCAAACATTCCCTAGCAAATCCACGCCTCCTCCAGAATACACAAATCACATTCAATATTGTGCTGGGGGGCAAAGACCTGGTATCAATCTACAAACACAACCAGGATCCATATTGGTTGCACTCCTCCTTCAGCGTTGTACCTTTGGAGTTTGGGCTCATTGCTCGCGGCCATTGGGACAACCATCATCCACCTATTATGGGAAGACCATCATCCCATGCTGTCTTTGGCCAACCAACAAAATACCAGGATAAAGAATTAACCAGCTTCACCATCAAATTCCTCAAGCAGGACCAAGTCAACATACTCGGCTATGGCACAGATGAAACTCTGTATGAAATGGATCAATACAAGCAATATCTCCAACAAATCACCATTATTGAAGAAGGGAGAGTAGTGGCTCCCCTTCTCAAATCCTACCTATATCCAAAGGATTGCCAGCCCAATTCAATCATGGCCACAATCCAAAGCAAATCAGTCATCCCCCAACTGGAAAAAGGTGTACCTCTTGCAGAAGCAAACAAGGATCTCTTCACTCAATGGATACAAGATGGCGTCATTGCGCATACCACCCTTGCCAAAATGAACAATCATGGAACAGCCTACACAGAGCTGCCACATCATGGCGTAGCACGTCCAGAAAGTGCATCTACACCTCTTAGGGTTGTCATGACAGGCAATGCCAGTGACCCAAATTGCTACTCCTGCAATCAACTCTTCATCCAAGGGCCAAATCTACTACCGGAAATCACTAACATATTGCTGTGATGGAGATTCAACGAGCACTTTGGAGTTGGGGACATTCACAAGGCCTTCATCCAAGTTCTGCTAGCACCAGAAGAACAATGAGTCCTTCTTATATGGTGGCCTGAACATCAGCCCAATGGGACTTACGTTCTCAAGTTCTACCACTTCTTCTGCCTCCCATGGGGAATCAACTGTGCACCAATTATCCTGAATGCAGCAGTTTGCCATCTATATCAGCAAGCCGTCCGGAAGAACATACTAACAGCAGCAGAACAGGAAGATCTCAAGCACAACACCTATGTTGATGATATCCTCATCTTTGGAGAAACGCCAGACAAGGTTCAAACCAAAATGGCCAAAACAACAACAGCACTGGCGCAAGGAGCCTTTGAACTTACCAAAATCAAAATTGCACCACTCCAACCGGAAGAAGCCAGATCCATCTCACCATAAAAAGTCTTAGGAGTCAACTATGACCCCACAACAGACCTCATCCTAAGAGCACCACTATCCTTGCAATCATTCCTGGATTGCAAGTACCTCACCCTGAGACATATTACACGGTTTGAAGCGCGCCTGGTTGACATCCTTGGAATGCTTACTTCATTTACAACTTCAATCAAAATCCTTTGGCAAGATTTTCATGACATCCATTGTTGTCCTTTCTATTACAGGACTGTGAGTCAAGAATAAAAGAACCAAGTTCTTATTCTGGATTAATATCTTTTATACAATATTCTCATCCACATACAAACATTCAATACAACAATACAAATACACAAACACACAAGTCCAGCTTGTCTTTACTTCCAAATAGGTTTGAGCTTTTAACAGAGTTTTGACTNCATCCACATACAAACATTCAATACAACAATACAAATACACAAACACACAAGTCCAGCTTGTCTTTACTTCCAAATAGGTTTGAGCTTTTAACAGAGTTTTGACTATGGAGTTTACTGTATGAAGCTTGGATGAGATCTCTCTTGAGGTTTCACCAAGCAGGGGTATTTAAACCTAGCCAGCCTAGATGGGGAAAACAAAGGAAACAATCATCGCGACCCCAATAGCGGAAATCCCAATCCGTGAAACAAACAAGGTGGAAATTGCTCTGAGTGAAATATAATTGCGCTGGTTACACATCAGTGATAATGACCATGCGCAACAAGAACAAGAGAAACAAATATCACTCGAATTTTGTAAAGAGTTGAGCCCACCAGGATTTCAGGATTGATTGTACTTCAATTACCTGAGGAAGGTTACCGTAACTTGTCATGAGAAGTTGTAAAGATTTCTCATCAAGGAAATTGCAGCGATTATATTCGCTTTAGCAATTTCCCGTTTCTAGGCTTTCTAAAAGGTTTCTTCTAAAACTACCAAAAGGGGTCTTCTGTAAGTTATTGTACTTCTAAGATAACAAACTCACCCTGCACAATAAAAAAAAGGTTCCATCCTTTTGTGAAAGTCAGCAGAAAAAAGAACAACAAGTGAACCAAGTGCGAGACTCAGTGCAACAGTGCCCTATTTTCCGTTGCTGATTCTTTCAGGAGCCATGAAGGCTTTATGGGAATGGCAATTGTTATTACCAACCCTTAGGAGGAATCAGGCATGAATCTGACAGATGTTCGGATCAAGAAGAATGATGATATCTTCTTCAGTCGGCATCGAGTGCCATTAGTAACGGATGATCCATTGGGCCTGAAATTTTGGCAGTACTCTTTGGTGAGTATTGGTAACTTATATTAATTTTTTCAAAATTGTCAGTTGTTCATTTAATGATTTTTGTCTCGAACGACACAGCGTTGTGACGACTTCCTGTCAAACAAAATCGTTGGAAGTTGATGGGTCTCCTGGAGCTGGTGGCCTCAAACATTGTTTTGCGAATCGTTCGTTTGGCTAGTGACTTTGTGCTGGTTGGGATCTTCAACTTTTTCAAAAGAAGACTTCAACAAAGTGAGTTTACAAAAACAAAACAAAAAAAATATTTTTTAGGAATAACAAATTTTTTTCAAAATTTTGACAGATGGCATTTCTGAAGATTGCGACGTTGCTGTTGTGGCTGCTGGTTGGTGCTGGTGCGGACTGCGGTCCAGAAGACAGTGCGTTCCTGTGTTGGGACGTCTGCGGCAAGGAGATGAGGGGCGCCGGCGGATGCGGACGTCGGGTGATGTTTGTCGGGGCAATGCTGTTCTTGGACTGCGTCAGACAGGCGGACTTGAAGGTAAGCTTGGAAAGTGTTGTTGTGTTGCAGACTTGACAGCATTTCTTTCTGCAGGAAGTGAAGCTGTTGTCGCCGATGGTCTGCGTCGGGCGTCGGGCCGACATGGATTGTGTCGTGACGCCGTGGAAGTGGTGCAAGGAAGTCATGCCACCCAAGCCAGAGATCTCGACGGCGGCAGTTCCGCCGGTGGTTGGTGAGTTTGTTTTTGTCAGCTTCTCCACACAAACAGATGCATTGCAGACATACAACTCACATTGCACATTTTCACATAACAACATAACACATACCCAACACCTGTACCAAAACCAAGTACACAAACACATTTTTCCTTCACCTATTTTAATAAAATATTTTGTCTATACAGATGAGCCTCGCCCATTGGCGCCAACAGCCAACCTGGCGGTCGTCCACGTGCCAGCTAGCAAAACGCTTTTTGTGGTTCGGGCGCCGCCCTCGACGCAGCAAAGCGTTGTAGTGGCCCAAGAAGTGCCGCATGTCATCAGGGCACTGTCGTCGACACTGGAAGTGACGGTCAACATCAAACATGGTGTTGTGCATGTCAAGGCGGACGTGGACCCGTGGACTGCAATGGTCCTGGATTTCATGGGCCTTGGAGGAGCAGGGGCTACGTCCCTGGCTGTATTTTTGGTTTGGCTGGTCAAGTTCATAAGGAACAAGGTTAGCCAATTTTTCTTTTGTTTTAATAAAAATGATTAACAATGCCTTTTGCTTCATGCTTGCTTTGCTTTTTTGTGCATGCCTTTCAAATATAGAGAAAGAAAAGAATTTTGAAATTAGATAAAGCTAAAGTTAAAGAATGCATAGTAGGATCTATGCCCAACATATTTTTTTATGGGTTAGATTCTGATGATGAAGAGTTTGAAGTTTTCTCTCAAAACTATGCAGATTTCAGGGCTAGATCCCCAAGAGTTTCAACATTCAGGCAAGGTAAATTATAACATGTAAATACAAAGCAGCGAATGCAATAATTTTTGATGCTTTGCTTGGGGCTTTTTTCTTTTCTCTTTTTGTACAGTCATCGTACATGCAGGAGCTGGTGCGGATGCTGACGCCGGAGGATCAGCAGGATCCGGAAGCCCAACCAGTGGTGGATCTGCTGGGGCTGGAAGAGACGGATAAAACTGTCGAAGACAACAAGGAAGAAGAGTTGGCCCTTGAGGACAATAATCTGTTCAAAGAAATGTTAAATGCATAAATATAAAAATTGCATTAGAAAGAGAGCGCCATTTTTGTACCTGCGCATTTATATGGGTCAAGGCAATGAGAGAAATTTGTAAAAAGAATTTCTGGCCTCTGGTTCTCTTTTTTGTTTGTCTTTTTTCCAGCCAAATTTCCTTTCAGAAAGTGATCAGCAAATGGACAAGATTCCCGTGGAGGAGTCCATCTCCAACCTAGGATAAATGGCAGGCTTAGGAGTAGGAGACTGAATAAATCTCACAGATGCTTGAGCATCATCAGATCTTCTAGAAGGAGAGGACCTCCTAATCTGTAAGACATACCAAATCTTGGCATAGCATAAATAAATAAGACACAGTAGAATAATGAGCAACAATGAGACTGACACAATCATATAAATATAACCGTAGTCTCTGAAGTGAATTTGTAGCTCACTGATATCTGAGGAAATTTGATGGATCCCTGGCATGACAGCAGGTATTT